ATCCTCAGGTTGTAGGCGCTGTTTGTCAGGATAGGCCGAATCTAAATAAACGCTAATTATGAGCGACTCGGTTAGGATTTGACTGTCGGGGCCGATCTCGAGCACCGGTAATTTCCCCGATGGGTTGCGGTCCAGGAGCCACTCGGGTTTATCCATCGAATTGACGTTTATTACTTCATGCCCGGCCGCCCAAGTAGTTGTAAATTAATAGTTTGATAAGTAGTAATAAGTATGTTTGAGCTAGTTAAATACTGTATACATATAATATTGTTACACTACTTACAGAATGCCTTTGGCGGCTAACACTAGCACTACCCGTACGCAGTTCGGGACAGTCCGGGAAGTTGTATAGTCGCGGCACTAGTTGTATAGGTGAGGGTCAGCACGGGCTGGAAAGGGATCACCTGGAGCATATGGATAATTTATTAAAATGTCATAAAACATATTTATTTCAAATAATTTGAATATCTCAATAAATTGTTTACCTTTTTTGTACATTTGATCATGATTGTCATTTGCAACTATAGGCATAACTATATTTTATGGTAAAACTTATTTATATTGTATATTAATATATAATAATTATTCAAATAAATTATTTTAAATTAACTTTAAAACTATTTTTAAAATATAAAATTGAAAAATTGTGTATGGATACATTTCCTGAGAAGTCATTTACAAAAACTGTTGAAATATTTATATTTTTGTGTTTTTATAGTCAAATAACATATGAAATGAAAGTCTAATGAATGCTACAGTTTGATACCATTTGCAATGTTGTAACTAAAATACTTTTTTCAAAAATGAAATACAAATTTGTAACAATAAGTGGTTAGCACTGTACGAATTGTCATATCATTTAAAAGCTTATTTAACCAAAGGGTGGTGGGGGGCAGTAGAGTGGTGTAACGGTTAGAGTGTCGCACTAACAGTAGTCTAAGCTAAGGTTAATCAATAGGATGGGTCAGAGACTACCTGAAAGTAGGTGTATAGGGGAACATGAGATCTCGTCCCAACCAAGTGGGTAAAATTTTTTTTTTATTAAAACTTTGTTAATAAGTTTATATTTTATTTTATATTTATTTTAAGTTAAATTAGCTAAATTATTTACTTACTATAAAACCAATAAATATTTATATCAATAACATATTATACTATTGCTACGGCATAGAGATATTAAATAAATTAACATCATTATATAATATTCATAATAATAATAAGCTAATAGAAATTGAAAATATAAATCTCAAAGCCTTATCTTAAGGAATTTATTTTAAATGCTACTAGTACAGGTATTTGTATATTAAACTATCGCTGGTAAACTATAAAGTAAAGTGTATAAACAGCATCATTGTTTAATATATTTATTATTAAATAAGTATTTTAGTAAAACGTTCAACCACCAATTTGAACCATAATTATTGTTTAATTATCAATGTAAATTGGTGAATTTAGAAGTTCTATATTATTATAATACAAATAATAATGAATTTAAAAACATTACTAAAAACATTTTACTAAAACATAAAACATGCAATATAAATTATAACTATTTTGTTTTTTAAAATTATCATTGTAAATCTATGAATTTAGAAAATTCTATATTAATATAATAAAAGTAATCATGAGTTTAGAAAAATTCACAAAAAAATGTTTCATATTCCCATTAATATCCTGTTTATTTTATTTATCATATTACATGCAGTATTACACGAGTGGAAAATAATATTCAAAATATTGTTTTATTAATGTTTTAAAATAACATAAAATTCTTGTTTAAAATATAATCACTAATAATAAGCGAAACAAATACTGATTCACCACATGATTGGCACTACTTTTTAAATATCTTTGAACGCATATCTCGATTACGGGCTACCAGTGCCTCGTGGGGCTGACACACTTTCTGGACAGTGGGGTCGGTAGGCATTTGGCGCCAGTAGTCGTATAGAGCTGGCAACCATTTAGGCATGAGTTCCTCCCTGTCCTGACCCGCCAGGTCTACCAATACTACCAATCCCTGGATTAATGGCCACACCATGTAGTCGGCCAGACATGGCTGTTCAGCACCTGTAGCGTATGAAAAGTCATAATCTAACACAATACTAGTAGACTATTATTTTTTAAAAATCCATAAAAGCTATTATATGCAAAATATAGTAATATTAATATCAGTTTAAGACTATTTAGTAATTTATTTTAAATATAATTATCAAGGTAATATGGACAGGTGTGTCTGCGTACACTACCGGATATAAACTTATGGATCCATCGCCTATTAGACAGCACTTTATTCAGAGCTGTCAGTCCCTCCATAATGTCTGTCCACTTGTCCGCCAGGTTTTCAGTTACGTATAAATGCTTTATAACAGTGTTTTTGGCGCCGAATGTCTCGATAAACAGTCGATCGGTGGCCCTCTGGAAGGCATCCTCAGGCTGTAGGCGCTGTTTGTCAGGATAGGCCTCATCTAAATACTCACTAATTATGAGCGACTCGGTTAGGATTTGACTGTCGGGACCGATCTCAAGCACCGGTACTTTGCCCGATGGGTTGCGGTCCAGGAGCCACTCGGGTTTGTCTTTAAGATTCACATTTATTACTTCATGCCTGGCCACCCAAGTAGTTGTGAAATAATAGTTTAATAAATAGTAATAAGTATGTTTTCAGCTAGTTAAATAGCTAGTTACATATAATATTGCTACAGTACGTACTCAATGCCTTTGGCGGCTAACACTAGCCGTACCCGTTCGCAGAACTGACAGTGCGGGACGTTGTATAGGCGAAGTAGGTTTGGGTCAGCACGGGCTGGAAAGGGATCACCTGGATAATTGATAATTAATTAAAATGTCATAAACATATTAAGTTATTTAAAATATTTTGAATGTCTTAAATTAACACTCTTAATAAATTAATTACCTTTTTTGTAAACTTTATCAGGATTATCGTTTGTAACTATAGGCATAACTATATTTTATGGTAAAAACTTACTTAAATTTTATATTTTTATAAATAGTAAAATAAATTTCAGATTGTCAAGCAAATAGTTATATGCTTGGCCTTTATATACCAACTTGGTAATAAAAATCATTGTAGGTGCGCAAGTGTTAAGTATTGGGTTTGGTAAAATAATATTTTGTCAGATAATAAAAAAAATAAATTTTTGATTAGTAAGTATGTACGGTATTACATATAGTTTTGAATTTAAAAAATATAATAAAATACATACTACTTGTCATTCAATATAATGCTATGCATACCTTAAAAGTTTTAAATTGTAATCATTAGTTTGCAATAATCATGTATGTGTAAGTGTTTAAATATGAATTTTATCCTGTTTATCTTAAAAATATTAAATATCAAGTAATGGCATAAAAGCAATTTAATTTCTTAAATTATAACATTAAAAAAATTAAAAACTTTAAACATTTTGAGTATAATTAAATTCCCTGTAAATACACAAAAATACTGAAACAAACTGCCTACTAGCCCGGGTAATTCATCACCAGTAATGTTTGGATAGTCATAATATAACTTAATAAATGCTATAATCAATAAAATAGATTTACTATAATAACCTCAATATATTTTTGTTTATTTATTTAAAATAAATAAAATAACTAATATTATACGAGATAATTTGACTTCAAACCAGATATTAATTTATTGATCCACTTCATTTTAAATAAAATGATGGCTATTCTGACAATAATGTGATCAAAACTATCGAGATTAAATTAGTTAACTATCTGTGTTAAATAGTTGTCACATAATTTTAATTGTTAAAAATCCTGAACACTTACAAGTTAGTCTAAAAGATATTCAGTAATTGTTTAACTTTATTAACATAATAACGCCATCCACAATTACTAGTTATATTATGGTAATGTACTTTGTATACTGTACTAGTAGTAGTATTTACTATCACCATAGTTATTAATTACAAATACCACTACCATTAAATTACACTTACAGTATTAATATAAATGAACAACAATTGATTAGCATGACAAAAACTGTAATTATTTATGAATTAATTTTTATTTATGTCATAAACTTTGGTACATCAAATTAACTGGATGCAAACATATTCTTCAAAAAAGTTACTTTTTAAGCAAAACTTTACGGTATTCCCGGGTGTGGGCCAGTAGTTGCTCGTAGGGTAGGCTCACTTTTTGAACAGTCGGGTCGGCCAGCAATTGCTTTCTATAGTCATGAACTGCGGGCAGCTCTTTGCGTAGGAATTCCTCCGAGTTATGGCCAGCAATGTCTATGGACTGGGGTAGGCGCTCAATGAATGGCCATATGGCGTAGTCTACCAATCCTGGTAATGCGGCACCTGTAGTAACATTAAATTAAATAATAAGAAACGTGGTTATTTACTTATACTGTGATAGATAAATTAAGTTTTATATATTGTGTTAAGCTAGTATTTATTTATCTACTGTATTAGATAAAATTATTTTTTATAAAACCTTATTAGTACCCGACTTGATAATTACTAATATTGTAAATTAACTAACAAATTATAATAGTTTATAATTTAGCAGTGTAATTTTATAAAAATACAAAACTATTACTAATTTAACGCGAACTTCAATTAAATTAAGTAATATTTTTAAGGGAAATATATGTCTGGGAGGGCCTACCGGACAAAAACTTCTCGTTGCCCCTCCTCTTAGCCAAGAGTTTGTCCACTTTTTTCAGAGTCTCCGTAATGTCTGTCCAAACGTCGGCCAAGTTTTCGGTGCGATATATGGCATACAAACCGCT